ATTTGAGAACATTTAGATGAGTTTGAAAATCTAGAGATTTTAATTAAAAGAATTAATTAAAATCTATTTAATGGTTCCCTTGGCTTAATTAAGTTTTTAACTTGATATTTGTAATGACCATGACTTGTTTACTAGCATATAGTAATTTGGGACCATTTGAAGTTGCTTTAGAACCTTGGGATTTAAATTAGCATGATTTAATTAAAATTCCACTTCATTGCTCCAACAACCTAATTGAGTTTTAGAATGGATATAAGTGATGACCATGGTATGTCCTTTAGAATGTATTAATTTGAGGTTATTTAGAATTACATTGGAATCTAGAGAATTTAATTGTGTTTATTTAATTAAATTCTATCTAATTGCTCCATGGATTTAATTGCATCTTGGAAGTTGTTTCTATGTTTAAATCATCGACTTGGATTTGTTGTGTATTCACTTGGTTACATTTGAGCATTTGATAACATTGTTGTTATATTTAAATTCATGAGCTTATGTTTTCAATGTTGAAAGATATTGTTATAGTGTGTAACGAATCGCACACTAAAGATTCGACATTTGTCATGCCACAGTAGTTGTGGACTTAGTACATGTATTGTATGTGTTTCCAAATTTGGTTGTGCTTGGTAGATAGTTGATATCTTGTATATACATGTTGATATATAAGTTGTTGCATAACTTGTTGATTTTGGAAACTTAGGGATGTCGTTATTTGGCTACGGTTAGGACTTAGTTCTAGTACGGGGGATTATCCCTCTATATAGTGTAGTGCGCACATAGGGAGGTTACCCGTGGGCTAGTAACCCTAAAGTAACTATGGTGTCGGTCTGATCCGGCGTGACGTCCAAGTATCCACTTTGGTTGATTTCGCATTTCTTTGCAAGTTGATAACTAGATGATATCGTAACTTGTTGTTCTTTGTTTGATTTACCATTTTAAGTTACAAGATGTTAACTTTGAGAAATCATGCTTTATGCGTTGTATTGGAAGTTCCAATGTTGGTTAAATTGTATCGATATCATGATTTGTGTTTTGATGTTCAAATGTAATTTAGGAATGATCCTGTAGATTCATTTTGAACATAGACGTTATGTGGCATGACCCACTCTTGTTGTTTTCGTATTTTAGGTTTTAAGTTAATGACTTTGAGAATCTATATCTTGTTGCTTTGTATAACATGTTTCTATGTTGTTGAAATGCATGAAAGATGTGATTTATGCTAGAAACACTCTAAGGTTGCTTAGGATGCTTCCTGCATCTCATTTTGATATAGACGTTAGGTGGCATGAACCCCTTTAACATGTTTCAACATAAGGTGATAAAATTGTAAAATGCTAAGTTGATGCATGCTCATCTCCTACGAGTAGCTTTATGTTACTCACCCACGTAGTGGGGACATTTTTCAGGTACAAGAATCAATATTGAGATTCTTATTATGCTTGGATGATTTGTGGACTTGAAGATTTCCATTCTTGTGAAGGTTGGCTTGAAATGCCATTTGTAGCCATTTTGTCAAATGTGTATATTTGATTCCAAACTTGTATTATGTGCTTAAGCACATTTTTTGATATTCATTCTATGTGTATGATATGTGGTCAAGGACCAAACTTCATTTGTAATCCATGTGTATTGAAAAATGTAGAATTTTGCCTTTAATGGGAAAAACATGAAAACTTAGGTTTCAATATGTCATTTTTGCACCGGTGTGTGCATCGTATATGTAATTCATCCTTTAGCATTCATTTGCCATATGTGAGGTGTGGCCAAGGGCCAAACACCATTTAGTGTTCATTTTTGCATTTTAGTTCACATATTGCATTTTTGGGCTAAATAGTAGAAACCGAGCCTTTAAGGGTTCATTTTCAAATTGGGTGGTGTAAAGTGTGTTCCGGCACCTCCACTAAGTTTCATTTATCTTGTATTTAGTGTGGCCAAGGGCCAAACGGTCATTTGAAACCATTTCCTAATTTTGGTTTCCATATTTTTCATTTCAAGTCTATTTTTGCCTTTTTGGCCATTGGGGGGTCGAATTTTGCATCGGTGGTATTTTTAAACCATGGACCATTGTAGCGCATCCTAATAGGTAAGTTACATTTGCGTGTATGATCGTTTTCAAGAAAAACCCTTTCCTATGTGATTTGAGCCTCCTATGGAATCATTTTTTAATTTTCTTGCATAATATGATTTTAGGGCATTCTAGGGTTTTTCTTCAGGAAATAATTTTTGGTTGTCACATAGTCACTTAGAAAACGTGATTTTAGGGGGGGTTTTTTCTTTGTGTTTTTCCAGAAAATGTCGTCTTGGTATCAGAAATCCCTTGTGAAGTTTCAGCTTCCAGTTTTCATTTAGCAGCTTTTTAGCTCTCTTGACCAGATTTCTTGGGAGGGCATTTTGGCCATTTTACAGTGAGTTTTTTTTTTTTTTTTTTTTTTTTTTTTTTTTTTTTTTTTTTTTTTTTTTCATTTTATCACGCATGGCTGGGTAGAAAATTTGATTTCGGGAGGGGTTTCTTCTTTGTGTTTTTCCAGAAAAATTCGGTTGGTAGCCGGCTTTTAATCTCAGATCCTGTAGTAGCTTTTTGCCCTCATGTCCAGTTCTGATCTAGGGGCATTTTGGGGATTTTGCAGTGAGTTTTTTTTCGTTTCCTTCCACACTATCGGGTAAAAAACTTGATTTTAAGGGAGGTTTCGCACCGGGCGCCCTATTCGGCGTCCAATGGCATGCACCATGACATGCTAGGAAAGAAAAAAATTCAGTCAGAACTGAGAGCCGAAACGAGGTCTGAAACGTGTTTTTCTATAATGGGGCGCCGGCATGGGCGCCGGGCGTGCATGGGGCATGCTATGGCCTTCGTCGGGCTGCCGCGACGTCACAACTTCAAACACTCGTTTCTCCCTCTTTCAGACTCCAAATTGAGTGAAATTTTTTTTGTACTTGACTAATTTTTTGCTGTCTTTCCAACGGTGTGCTCGATTGCACTCGGTTCTTCCTGGATAATTACCAGTTTACCCTTTTAGCCTTAAGTGCTCGTTTTTCTTTGTCATGTCGTTTCTCCTTTGTCCGGACTCCGAATCATGCGATTCTTGAGTCCATCTTGATTATTTTTTCGTTGTCTTTCCAGCGGCGTGCTCGGTGCCACTCGAATCCACAGTTTTCAGAAATAACTATTTTACCCCTAGGGGCTTATTTGTCATATTTCTGATCTTCTACTTCTGCGTCAGTTTTCTTTGAGTTCCGTGACCTCATGGAAGGTCATCTTAGGGTCTTAGAGGTGTGTTATGCCTTGGGAGGTTATTTTCTTGTTTCTTGCTTCCGCATCAGGATCCATTACTGGCTCAACTTTCGAGTCACCATTGACGCACCGGGTTGAAAAAAAACTTGGGTCGTTACAATTGTTGAGTTTAATTCCATATGATATATAAATTATTTAAATCCCAAGGTTGAACAGTTGACCATAGTATGAGATTCGTGGTGAAGTCAATCCCTAAGTATTTCTTCTCTTGACCTCAATCCTTTAGTTTGTTTATTTTCTATTTATGTTTTTCTTGAATCATAACACACAATAAATCTTTCTTTTAAATTAAAATAATATTAATTGAAGATTCAATAAACCACCACAGTCCTTAAGGTTCGACACCCTCAACGTAGCCCTATCCTACAAGGATTCGTTATATTATGAGTGGTTAATTTATTATTGACACACATCAATACTCATTTCTTGATGGATTATGCCTCTTCCTTAGTTTAATTAGTTTAATTTTCATGTCCCTAACTTAATTGTAATGTAGTTGCCTTATTTTCTTAAATGGGAGGACAATCCATGCTTGTTGTTTGATGTTCCATACTTATGAATGCAAGTAGTATATTTTTCTAATTTGATGATGTGTATTGATTGTGGACTTAAAGGAAGGAATAATGGCTTAACTTGATATGTTGTGCTATTCACTAGTTTAGCTAGACAATGTATACTTATTTAGTCATCCATGCTTGTTGAGTCAATTAATGACACACACTAGTATTGCAACACATAATCTCCCTCATTCATTAAACATTTAGTGTCTAGGAAGGTAATGTTTAGTGGTGACTCTAAGTCCCAAAACCTCTCTCTTATATCTTTTCCCCTATTTTCTAAATTGCTATTTACTTGCATTAATTTTAATTGCATTGTAGTTTAATTAACTAATCACCAACCATCTTTGATCATTCGACCTACTAATCCGACATTAATTTCCAACATAAATACACATCCTTTCCCTTGGGACGATCTTTACTCACCCTAGCTATATTTATAGTTAGAAGTGGTAGTGGCATTCTATAAATTCAAACTTGGCCACACTACACCTCTTTTTGTAACTAGTGCTAGGTGCGTACCAATGGTCTGGTCTCCTCTTAGTTCGCCAACGCCATGCTTTGTGGGGAAGTGCATTAAGAGGTGATAATTCAAAGTGATGGCTCTTATCGAGTTTAAAGTCATCCTTCCTAAGATGATGTTGTAAGCAGATGGACAATCCACCACCAGGAAGTCTACCATGACAGTAACTTGTTTTGGGCTGGTTCCAGCAGTAACGGGAAGAATGACCGCTCCTAGAGGATAGACCTTATCTCCCAAAAATCCTACCAATGGTAATCTAGTAGGTTTGAATTTCTCCTTACCAATTTTTATCTTGTCGAATGCATCAAAGAAAATATTATAAGCCAAACTTCCATTATCAACCAAGATCCGCCGAATACTATAATTAACGATCATCATGGTGACAACAAGAGGGTCGTCATGGGGTTGTTGTACATCCTTAATATCTTCATCTGAAAATGTGATAACAGGACCACCTAAACGAGGCATTTTTCGATGTTAAATTTGTACTCCAACTTCGCACACCTCAGATGAGCTTCGCATTCTCCTAGCATGGGCCTTATGGCTGAGCTTGATTCCTTACCTCCTGTACATCCCCCGGCTATGACCCTGATTTCTCCCATTGGTTGCTGATCAGGGGGTGGTTATCTTAGCCTGCTCTTGGTAGATTAGTGTCATTTCTGTCATTCCCCACAGTAAACCTTCGCATGTGTCCCATTCGGATCAAATTCTCAACCTGATCCTTAAGGTCGAAGTAATCCTCTGTGGCATGCCTATGGTCTTTGTGGAACCTACAGTACTTATCACGAGGTCTTCGCATCGGATCTGACTTCAACTTTGGTGGCCACTTCAGATATGGTTCATCCTGGATCTGCAGGAAAACTTGATCTATTGGCATATTTAGAGGAACGTAATTTGCATACCTCTTCGTGCTCCTATAACGAGACGTCCTTTCATTCTGGTTGACCATGGGTTTTTTATACTTGGTTTCTTTTTCATCTTTGGTTGTCAAGGTCGGCCTTTTCTTGTCTGCTTTCTTATCATCCCTTTTTTTTTTCCCTTTCTCGCAGTCATGGTATCTTCAGCATTCATGCGTTTTTGAGCTCGGACCAATAACCCAGCCATGTTGGCAGGGGGTTCCTTTGATAAAGAGAAGAGGAATCTTGAGGTTTGGAGTCCTCCTATAAAGGCGGTCAGGGCCACCTTGTCATCCACTTCCTCCACCTAAAACATCTTTGTGTTGAAACAACCAATTTAGTCTCATAGTGACTCTCCTTTCTGCTGCTTCACCGTGAGAAGGTAGGTAGTTGGCTTTCTATGCCACTGGCCTGCAATGAAATGGCCCACAAAGTGCCTACTCAATTCTTCAATGGTTTCGATGGTCCCTGGCTTTAGCTTGTTGAACCATACCCGTGCTGATCTTTTAAGGGTCGTTGGGAAGGCCCTGCACATAATTTCATCCGGCATCGCTTGTAGATGCATAAGCGCTTGAAAAGTCTCCAAGTGGTCAAGGGGATCTCTAGTTCTGTCAAAACTCTCAATTGAGGGAATCCTAAATTTTCTTGATAAGGGGCATTTCATAACTAAGGGGCTGAACGGCAAGTTGGTCTTCTACACCAAACCATCTATGGCCGCAGTAGCTTTCCCCTTCATGGCCTGCATCACATCCTCCATATTCTCCTTGAGACCTTGTATCTCTAGGTCAAAATGGGAAGACTCCTCCATCTTTTCAATGACTGTTGTGTTTTCATGGGGTTGGGAAGTCCGTGGAATAGATGGGTGGACCACCTCTCTATGTCGGTTCCCTACCTGGCTTTGTTCCACTTCGGTCTCATTTCAGGGAGGATGATTATTCCTCTCCTCAAGATTCCCATTACCACCGGTTGGATTCAAGAGATCTTGTCATGGCAAGTTCTGTTGAACCAGTGGAATAAGATGTTACAGGAGCACTGTATTTTGTTGGATCAACTGGTCCATACCTTGATTTAGAGTTTGGACCTGTAGTTCCAACACTACAAGCCATTCTTGGTCGTTTGGGATGTCTAGGTGTTCACTCAACCCTTCCCCTTGACTATATCCCTGTAACGATGTTCATTTGGTAACCATACAGGATCACAAACGCATATACCCAACTGAACAATATTTAAGGAAATCGTAGTTCCCACAGACGGCACCAGTTGTTGGGGTAGATATTCATGCGATCTGGTACGACACCATTTCCTGTAAAATAAAGAAGGCTGAGTCAAGGACCGGTGTGGTGCCATTCGAAGACCCTCCGACGATCAAGTCCGTGGTGAATTTTTAGAAGAGAGAACTAAAAAAATAAGTAGAGAAGTTAAGTAGGGTTTTTTTGGTTTTTACCTTAGTCCATGGTCCTATTGTATTTATGGCGTGCTTGTCGATATATTCAATGCAAGCTGTTGAGTGTATCCCACTTAGAGAGATTCAGTTTATCATTAATAACAACTTCCACTATAGTCGTTAACTGAATGTTATTATCGCTATTGCAGACCCGTTATCAAACGGAAGTTGAAGAACTCTGGCAGTTGGTCAACAGTTGGATACTTCTATCTATTTTTGTTTTACCCTATCATTATATATGACTCCTTGCAAAATTTAAGAAGCTAACTCTTAATATCCTTTCAGTACTCTCCATCTTAGTGCTGAAAATAATACTTTCTCAGATTTTAATTTTGTAAAACTACCCAAATGTCATTTAAAACTCTGGATTTCAGCAAAACTAAGTTCATTATATTTAAAACTAATATTCTAGAATTTCAATAATTTTTGGAATACTAAAAATATTCTTCTATATATTTTTTTTCCCTAAATTTATAATAAGGGGAAAGTCTGAAAAACACCCTTATAGTTTCAAATTTGTGCTAATTACACCCATATAGTTTAATTTGTTTATATAAATCCATACTAGATATGAAAATGTGCAACTAACCACTTACGGCTAGAATTCTGGTGGAAATTGGACGTTAGTTGGTCATGTGCCTTACCCATGACCATTTTAGCACATGACCATTTTAAACCTTTTATTCCCAAAATTGCCCTTCTTATATTCCTTTGCTACCCCTCACCATATATATATATATTTGCATATATAACCCTAATCTCTCCCTCCCTCATTTCATAATTGCGGTTCTCTGGAATCAAGTTTGGTTCCTAATAGCAGCAAAATTTATATGTAATGTGATATTAAATTAGGCCCTAGCATACTCTTTGACATATGTGAATTTGAGAGTAATTTGAGATTTTTTAAAATCTAGTAATAATTAATTAATTAGATTAATTAATTTTATTCCAAGTGTACTATTCACTTCATTGGATTTCTGACTTGATATTGTTGATGAGCATGCCATATATTTTAATATATATTAAATCAAGAATATTTGATTAGGTTTTGAACCTCTCATTTAATTATTTTCTTGTATTAAGTTTTAATACTCATGGTCGTATCTTGCATGGAATTCATTTGTATTATGCTATTAAATTAAGTCTTGACATGTTTAGCAACATACTTTAATTTGAGAGCATTTGGATGAGTTTCAAAATCTAGAGATTTTAATTAAAGGAATTAATTAAAATCTATTCAACGGTTCCATGGACTTGATTAAGTTTCTAACTTGATATTCTTGATTGCCTTGACAAGTTCTTTCACGTGTATCAAATAGAGAATAATTGGATGAGTTTTGAAACTTATATTTAATAATTTTCTTTGTATGGAATGTAATTCACATGGTTGTATCTTGTATGGAAGGAACTTGTAACTTGATATTAAAGTAGTCCTTGACATGGCATTTTATGTATCTTGTTCGTAGAATATTTAGAGTTGCCTTGTAGTCTTGAGAATTTAATCCTTTAAGTTGATTAAATTCCCTTTTATGTTTCCATCGAGTTATTTCTACTTGGATATTGAATTCATGTCTAAATTGTAAATTTGAAACTTGTTATGTGATTGCATGATAGTATTCTATGAGTTGAAGTCATGATTTAACTTGTTAGTATACACATTTTCTTGTATGACATTTAATATGCCACTGTAGCTTGAATGCCCAAGGCTTGTTCGTGCATGGTAATTGGCTAAGTGCATTGAACATATATGTTATATCTTTATTTGCACAACTTGTTGATTTTGGAACTTGGGATATCAATTAAGAATTGACATAGCTAGGACTTGGTTCTAGTATAGGAGATAGAGAGCTCCCCACATTATAGTGTGCACTAGGGGTAGGAACCCATGGGTTAGTAGCCCTAAAGTGATCCTGAGAGTACAGTTTTAATCCTGGTGATATCTGAGTATCCATATTATTTGATTTCACTACTTAAATTTCAAGTGTTATTCCTTGAAGATTTAAGAACTTTTTCGTGTCATATGAAATATTCCAACCTTGTTTCATTACATAGATTTTATGCTTCATCTTTGATTTCACTCTTTAAATTTCAAGTGTTGCATTCCTTGAATATTTAAAACTTTTTGTGTTATATGAATTGTTCCAACCTTGTCTAATTGCATAGATATTGAGCATTGCCTTCATTTCAGTCTTTAAAATTTAAAGGGTTGCATTCCTTGAAGATTTAAAACATTTTTGTGTTATATGGAATGATCCAACCTTGTTTAAATTACATAGACATCATGTTTTGCCCTTGATTTCCCTCTTTAAATTCCAAGTAGTATTTCTTGAAGATTTAAATCTTGTCGTGTTGTATGGAATGTCCCACCATGTTCAATTTCATAGATATCTTGATTCATGTTGCGTCATGTTGATACGACTTAGGAATGATCCTATGTAAGCATCTTGACTTAGATTCTAGGTGGCATGAACCGTTTAAGTAGTTATTACATTTTAGGTTAAAAGTTGATAACTTTGGATACCTATGTCTTGTTGCGTTACATTATGTGTTCCTATGTTGTTTAAATTGCACGAATGATATGGTTTACGCTAGAAATATACTAAGGTAGCTTATAATGCTTCCTGAGTCTCATTTTGACATAGACGTTAGGTGGCATGAGCCCCTTTTACTTGTTTCACCTTAATGTGATAATCTTGTAAAACGTTAGGTCCTTGCATGCTCATCTCCTACGATTGGCTTTATGTTACTCACCCCAAAGTTACTGTGGACATTTTTCAGGTACAGGAATCAAGGTTGAGATTCTCATTATGCTTGGATGATTTGTGGACTTGAAGGTTTCCATTCTTGTAAAGGTTGGGTTGAAATGCCACTTGTAGCCTTATATGTCAAAAAGTGTATATTTGATTCTAAACTTGTAATGTGTACGTAAGTGCACTCTTTACAATGTATTTGACATGTATGAGATGAGGCCATAGGCCAATGATATCTAATTTACATTCTATGCATTTTTACTTTCAAGGTTTATTATGGAAATAATGAAAATTGTTAAGTCATTACTTCACCATATTTGCATTGGGTGTGGGAATTCCACTTTTATTCTTTCATAGAGTCTTATTAACCATGTATGAGGTGTGGCCAAGGGCCAAACACCATTTTGTTTTAGGTTTTGCATTTTTGTTTTATTTTTTGCATTTTAACGCAATTTTATGAAAAATTGAGGTTTGAGAGGTCATATTTTGTATTGGGGGTATTTTGAAGTCGTGGGCCATTGGGATGCGTCTTAAATGTCTTTTTACGTTTGTGTGCATGTCCACATCTCAAAAAAAACATTAAATTTCAGTTTTAGAACTTTCATGGGGTGATTTATGAGTTTTTATGCAAATTTTATGCATTGGAGTTTTATTTAAGCTTCCCTCTTGCTTTAGTATGTTATGAAGGCGTATTTGAGACCATTGAATGTTTTTAAACTTGTTTCGGGACACTTGAGATGCATGTAGAGCTTTAGGGTTAGGCCAACCACCTTCCCCACACTTGCAGCAACAGGTTTTGCTGCTATCTGATGATTCGGTCGGCTGACAAGAGCCACCAGCCGACCGATAGCCTCTTGAGACCAATTCCAGTGAGTTTGCTAGTGAAAAAGGTCATTTTGGCCGGCTAATCCTTTCCATCAGCCGGTTGATGATCAAGTTTCGGCCGGCTAATCCTTGCCGTCGGTCGACTAATCCTCTCTACAACCTTCCCATTTCAGTTTTTTTTGTTGGACAACTTTGTTGCACTAACTTTAGAGGGTCATATCTCACTCATTTTAAAACCAAATTAGGTCATTCTTGAGTCTAACTTCAAGAGGTTGAAGTTGTATTTCCAATGGTACCAACTACACACCAAAACTCCAACCGTAGTGGGAGTTGTGACAGTTTTAGTGAGATAGGGTTATGGTATCTCTTAATCGGAGGATGCCACTTTGTTCTTTCTTCATATCTTTTTCGTTCGGACTCCGAATTAAGTGATTCTTGTGCCTAAACTTGTTAATTTTTTGTTTTCTTCCCAATAGTGTGCACAGCGGTACCCATTTCTAGGTAAAATGACCATTTTACCCTTGGTTCATT